TTTGTCATTGACTAAAAAAAGAATACTAAAAAAAGAATATCATAATTTGCTAGTTGAAGATTCATTATACCAGTACTCATGGGAACTCCTAACCACGAACACAAGAACACTAACAAGGAAGCATGAAACATTGAAACCGTGCATCAATGTATTCTCTGGGGAAAAAACAATTTCACCCCAAATTGTAGAGATTGTCAGATTGGAGTATCGTGACACATTTTGTCTCCATTTCATTTCCCTCTTCTTTATAGCTCAATACTTACCCATTAACTATAAGCACGACGCTTTTCTTTTGCTTGCTTCTCCATTGTCACTACCTTTATTTTTGGTCCCAAGTCTGTAACTTTCCCAAAATTTCACTCGAAAATAAAAAATTAGAGGAGTTTAAAGATACCTTAAAGCTGAATGTGGGGAAGGCAAATCAATAATGCCAATTGACTTCTGTTGAAATTAAGGTGACAGATTTTGAGGTTGAGCCTAAGGCTGTGGTAATGGTTTCTATGTCGTAAGTTTTTTGTAATACACAGGAATTCCATGGTTTGATCTCTCTCATTGTCGGAGAAAGCCCAATGTGATGGTTGCCGACATCAAAGGAGGAGAAGATAGAACAATAAACGCTTCATCTTGCCTCTGCCCACCACCACCCCTTATTTGAGCAAACTAATCCTTTATTCCGACCACCTTCTGATCTTGCATCCTAACACTACATCTCCACCATTGGATAAAAACAGTAAACCCGTCGAAAACCAACCTAGGTATCCATAGTCAATAGTGTAGTTGGAGGTCCAAGGTAAGAAAGAGTCAACAACGGTGCAACCACAAGCTGCCCTATCATCAAATAACAGAGGAGTTAATGACAAGTTAATAAAAAGACATTTTTAAACCTCAAAAAAATACTTTAGGAGGAAATTTACCTCATTTAAGAATATAGGGATTAAACCTTAAAAAAAATCCTTCCACTTCCATTGCAATATGACCAGCCTTCAAACCTAAAGACCCCTTCTTTATTGACCAATTCTAACGGAAGCAAGATGATGGAGGAAGAAGAATGACAGCAACGGCAGGTTCGTTTCACCTACAATCTCCTTCACTTCCATTTTATGATCCTTCCAATCACTGGATATAGGAAGATGTTGATGATGCTTACGGCTATGATACCCACTATGGAGATCTTCATTGATGGGGAGGGTAAGGGCACAAAGTTGAATCTGCAACACCCATGATGATGGAGCTCAATGGCACCCACTATGGACGAAGCTCGACGAAGTTATTGGAGAAGAAAAAGAAGGCTGACAATGTTGTCGGTGAAGCTGAAGACTAGTGAGGTTGTCGCGAAACGAGGGCGACGGAGATAGAAGAACGCTTTCTGATTCTTTCAATGGTAACATTGTCTTTTCCCGTCCAGCTATGTAATCAAGATGCTGCCATTTGAGAGAATCAGTATTGCATAATGAAATCCTTTTCACATTACAAGTCCAACTAAACAATAGGAATAAGCAAAATGCATCCGGATTACAAATAATTTTGATGTATGTAATCAAATCAAATGGTCCATAAATAATTTTATATCCTTGTTTTTTCAAAATAATTTTTTTGTTAAAAAAAATATAAGACTTTTTAACTGAATCTTATCTCTTAATAAAATATTTATTAGTTTTTTAATTAACATTATCTTTTCATATTCACCTCTATATTTAATAAAGTATTTCAATTTTAAAAAAATATAAGAAAAAAATTAATCTTTTAGTTCTTCAACTTTTAATTCATTTGTAACTTAATTTCTCAATCATGATTCACTACGTTTCAGTCTTTCAACTTTTAATTCACATATAACTCAATTCTTATTTTTTAATTTTTTTAAAGAATTATCGTTGTCAAAAAAGAGGAATAAAACAAATACTCATATCTTACTCTAAAATATCTTTCTCTTGTTCTTTGACATGAAATCTAAGTTAACATAAGAAAAGAAAACTAACAAAAGTTGAGAGATTGAGTTATAAATAAGTCAAAAGCTTAAGAATTGAGTTATAGCAAGTAATAATTGAGAGATTAAATTACAAGTGAGTTGAAAATTGAATGACTAAAATATTAAGTTTTCCTAAATATAAAGTGATTTATTTAACAATGGCACTTTTGAAAAAAAAGTATATTAATTATACTTTGAACTACTAAGAATACTTACATTTTTTGAATATTTAATCCATTAAAAAATGCCTTATATTTTTAAATGGGAGATTATAAATTTTCAAAAATGTCATTCATTTAATACTCTATTTATAAAAGTATTTTAAGAAGAGATAATATTAAAAATGTATTATTAACAAGACTTTATTTTTATGTAAATGTCTCATATTTTGGGATATTAAATCTTCTTTAAAATGTTTTATAATTTAAGACAGAATGAATATATTATATTTTGGATCAAAGTTATTAGTTAGGAAAAAACATGTTGCAATTTGGATCAAAGGAGGTGTTTTTTATAACGACGAGTAATAAAAATTATTGTAAATTTTATAATGCATATTTATGATGATCAGCATTAGGACATGCAGTATTTATGTTGTTTGGAAGGTTCAACACCATGAGATAGACGGCAAAGACGATGATACAAATGTGATTAGCATTGGTTTGATACCTACAACAAAATAAAAAATAGTGTAATTTAATAAATGAATTATCATGCCTCCCTTGACGATCAGGGAGGCGAACGATTCTTCCTAGGCCTTCATCAAATTAACTAGCATGTTTCCTTTCCCTTTTTGTCTTCTTTGATTCTGTTGATATTTCCTTTAGCTTTTTCTTCCATTCCTAATAACTATGTTCTTTCTTGCGTGGACCATAGTTAAGTTTCTGGTCAAAAAGGAAAAAAAAAATCATAATTATTATAGATTGAAATTGATAAATTAAGTAGTATAAATATAAACTTTAATCTTGAAACATAGTTGAGGTGTTTAAAATTAATATATAAACTTATTTAAAATGTTTACGTTTAAGCATGCTTTCAAATCAGGCTAGACTCTAGATAAGTATAGGATTGAACCTTAAAAAAAAGTTTTATATAGATTTTAAATTAAATTTAAGCCTTTGATTTATCACACAAACTTAGGCTTATCTATCAAAAGTCTAACTGGATTTAACTTATTTTCACCCTTATTTTGAGAGGTTAACATACATAATAAGGAGAATCTCATTTAGGCTATGCTTGGGGCCCAAAACATTCTGGAATTATTCTGCAAGCTTAAGGGTCTTTTTTGCAAATATGTTGTAGGGAGAAATGATACATTTGCCCTCAGTGAGGAAAGGCAACCAATATAAGTTTATTTTTATAACCATATATTTATGAATTTACAACTTTAAGTTCACATATTAACCAATAATTGTCAATCAAAAGTGAAATTTTTATTTAGAGTTAACATGTTCGTCTTAACCAACTAAATAAATTTATAACTTAAAGTTTAAATATTCACAAATATATGTTTATCTATTCACAAATCAAAATTTATAATTATAATTATATATATTTAAAATTAAGGTTCATTGTGACAATGAGTTTAAAATTTACAATTACATGTTTACCAATTCATACCTTTATATTCATATATTAATAAGTAATAAGTAATTGTCAATTGATAGTAAAATTTTTATTCAGAGTTGACAAGTTCATCTTGGTCAATTTAATAATTTACACCTTAACTTTTAAATATTCACAAGTATATATTCATTTACTCACAAGTCAAAATACATAATTTTTAACTTCATATATTCAGAACTAAAATTCATCATAGTAGCAAGTTCATATTTTTATAACTAAATATTCATAAATTCATATTCATAATTTAGATTTACATATTAATAAGTAATTATCCATTAATAGTGAACCAAAAATTCTTTCATTCCCATCAAGAGCAATTGTGTCTTTTTTTTTAAATATATTTGCAAAAAGAGCCCTTGAGTCCATGAAATAATTTCAAAATGCATCAGGTTATAACTGCAATTTTTTTTTTCTCTCGGGCATCCTAAATAAGATTCTCCCAACATAATAAATCTAATCTAACTTGACTAAAGTAAAACAAATTAAGGAGACCCACGTTAAAATTGAGGAAAATTATGGAGGCATGTATATTAATTTTTCTTAATTAAAAGTAACGTGGGAAACATGGTATGAAACTGACAACCATAGTTGGTTTTAAATTGGAAAGTGGCCATAGAATTAAGTAATTCATGGCCAGGAAGAACGGGACAAAATAGAAATGGCGGTTCATCGGAGAAATCAATGGGACGGGACGGCTCATTAGCAAATTAGGGATAAACGAGGCACCATCAAGTAAGGCCTTTGGTTTCTTGCGTTTCACATTCAAAAAAAACAAAATTTCACTTTTAAATGGTTGAAAATTATTTAAATAAAGTATTTTATAAAAAATGACATTTAAATAATAACTGAGAGTAAATTTAAAAAATGTAATAATTTAAAATTTTTAAAAAATAAATTTAAAAAATATTCTTTCGTCTCAAATTATAAAATACTTTTATATAAAATTTTATATATTAATAAATTTTATTAAATATATTTAACAATCTTATCTTTATAAAATAAAAATATGAATTTTATTAAATACTCATAATTTAATATATTAAAAAAATAATAAAAATTAATTATAAAAAAAGAAAGAATAACATTAAAATTGATGTATTTAATAAATTTTAATTTATTTTAAGTATTTTATATTTTGAAATAAAAAAATATTTTAAAAATTATTTTATAATTTAAAATAGAAGGAGTAAAATGTTATTTGACTGTAGAATCTCCGAGTTAATAAAATTGGAGGCGTTTTTGGAATTGGAAGGCTGAGTGACGCTGGCACTGCCATGTACATGTAGGAGGCCAATACACCAGTACAGTACAGTGAAGGGGGCGAGGCAAGTAGCCTTTGTTCATTTGCTTCTATTTATTTATATAATTTCAATTTCAATTTCATTTCAACTCTCCAGAGTCCAGAAGGTCTTTATTCTGAGAGCATAAGCGATCACAGACGCAGAGAGATGGGGAGGCCAAGGTGCTTCTTGGACATCAGCATAGGGGAAGAGTTGGAAGGGAGGATCGTGGTGGAGCTTTACAACGACGTCGTTCCCAAGACCGCCGAGAACTTCAGGGCTCTCTGCACCGGCGAGAAAGGCATCGCTCCTAACACTGGTCTACCGCTCCACTACAAGGTTCGCCGTCCTTTTCACTGTTACTTCACGAACATGAATGGACTCATTGCCTATTACTGTTTCAATGAGAGGGCTGTGTTTTCTTTTTTGAGACTGGGTAGGTGGTTGAAGACACTGTATGTTGTATGCATGACATGTTGGTTTTGCCGGTCCCTTTTGTAGTTTGGAAGGATGGCATTAATGTTTTTGCTTCAGGCGACGAAGTGCCTTTTTATTGCCATAATCTTGGAAAAGGGATTCTGTTAACTAATATCAATGATTCCTATTGTTCTCTCTCTTTTCGAAGGCCACTTTCTTGGGTATAATGCCATATATACTCTTTTTACCAGAGCAATGGCTACTTTTTTATCTTTTTATTTTCACTTTCTGTAATTACGTGATATTTGATGCCAATAAATAAAAATCCGATCAACAATCGGAGCTTTTGGTATGGGTATCCGGCGTGCTGAAGGAACACGGAGAAATGCTGATAAGAGATAATAATGTAGACTCTAGCCAGTGGGGCACAACTCTAAATTTGTTCGTTGTTAATCATGGCCAAAAGTTAAACAATCAGTGCATAGTCCATACCTATAACACATGATTGTAATATATAGCTTCAAATTATTGTAGCATTCTGATTTTTAGTGATGAACTGATGGTTTTCACTTCTTATAACATGCTGTGTGATCAGTATATGCTAGGATATGTGGGTACCTGATTCTATTCTTTTTACTGGTCTATTTGTTTTGGGGATCAATGGGTCAGCACAAAATTCTAAATCTTGCTTCTAGCATAATATGAGAGGAAAGATTAGATCCTTTCATCAATAGCTTCTTTATACACACACACACACACACACATGGAATTGAGAGAGACAGCATGCTATTTCATGATATGAATACCAAATCATCGTGCTTCGTTCTAAAAATGTTTTTCTGGCGTTAGGCCTTAAGTCAACCATAGAATTCAAAATACACTCTTATGAATATTCAGGGATGTTGCTTTCATCGGATTATAAGAAGCTTTATGATCCAAGGAGGAGATATATCTGCTGGAGATGGCACTGGTGGAGAGTCTATATATGGGATGAAGTTTGAAGATGAGAATTTTGAGTTGAAGCATGAAAGGAAAGGGATGTTATCAATGGCAAATTCTGGTCCTAACACTAATGGGTCTCAGTTTTTTATCACCACTACGCGAACTTCTCATCTTGATGGTAAGCATGTGGTATTTGGGAAGGTAATGAAGGGAATGGGAGTGGTCCGTTCAATGGAACATGTTACAACTGGCAAAGAAGATCTTCCCATTTTTGATGTTAAAATTGTGGACTGTGGAGAAATTCCTCAGGGAGCAGATGATGGAATATCTAACTTTTTCAAAGATGGGGATGCTCATCCTGATTGGCCAGCAGATCTTGATGAGAGCCCTAATGATCTCCATTGGTGGATGAATGCTGTTGATTCCATTAAAATTTTTGGTAATGAGTACTACAAGGTATTGGAGCATTATTATAGTCTCTTTCAAGTCTCACCTGCTTCACTTGATGCATCATTTCAGGCTGTGAAACTGAAAGGATGGAATCCTCATGTTCTGCATGCTAATGGTTGTTCTGTACTTATGATTGCATTCATCAATTTTTCCCCTGGCAGAAACAAGATTATAAAATGGCTTTAAGGAAGTATCGGAAGGGTTTACGCTACCTGGATATTTGCTGGGAGAAAGGAGTTGATGCTGGTATGTTAACTTTTGCCAGTACTTATTACTTGACTGTATGGTTAACATGACACAAATTCACTGTACCTCATTTGAATTTGATTCTCTGATGTTAATTCCCTTTCAGACAAGAGTTCAAGTTTGAGAAAAATAAAGTCTCAGATTTTTGCAAACTGCTCTGTAAGTTCAAAGCCGTTACATTGTACTGGGAGAAAATTTTATATACACTCTACCTATAACAACTGATTTCATTCTATCTTATGTTTCTTGTTCCCTTCTAGTAATTGCTCTTGGTATATTTGGCTTTTAGGCTTGTCAACTGAAGTTAGGGGATCTCGAAGGAGCATTATTAGATACAGAATTTGCAATGCGCGAAGCAGACAACAATGTCAAAGCTTTGTTTCGCCAAGGGCAGGTTGATATATCTATTAACGAACTTTATTGTCGCCATTTGCTGGTATTTAGATCTAAATATATGTATCCCACTTTGCAATCTGATAAACATGTTGCTTCCATCTTCCCAGGCATACATGGCGCTTCATGACATTGATGCTGCAGTTGAAAGCTTCAAAAAGGCACTAATCTTGGAGCCAAATGATGGTATGGGTTTTGTTCATTTTTCTAAATAAGTTGTACCGTATATTATTAATATTTATTTTTATTTATGAACAAATATGGATTTAAATGTATTCAAGTATTGAACTTTATGCATGATCTGGTAATTTTCAGCTGGAACCAAAAAGGAACTTGCTGCTGCCAGGAGGATGGTGAGTGTATCTGCAAGTTTTGGCAAAGCATTATACCATCAAATGCCTATTGGTGTATCTCACTGATTCTGTTTTCATGGCAGATTGCTGATAGACACAATCGGGAAAGAGATGCATGTAAAAAAATGTTCCAATAGCATTCTGGTATGTGCTAACTATTCAAGTTAACATGCGTACAATACAGATATACATTTTTGGTGATAGATCCTTTAAGTTAAAGGGTTTTAAAACTTGTGCATGCTTCCAATTTGTGTATCATTTGACAGATTCATCTTTCGTTGATGCATTTTTCTAACATTTGGCCTTCAGCTTAGCGTTTTCAGCAGAGGAAACAACCTGACCACCCAGCAAATACAGTATAAAATTGAGGTTTGAGTCCATTGTTGCAAATGAAGCTAGAAGGATTGGAGGAGAAAGTGGTTTTTTTTTTTCTTTTCTTTTCTTCATAATGATAGTAATAGCTTAACATTTTTTCCTTGTTTTCTTCCCCTTCTCACATAGAAGTCTTTAAAATGACTTTAAACAGTTTCCTGGTGATCCCACTGAATGAAAATGCATTAAAGCTTATGGAACCACTTGCAATGCTTTGTCTGATTCTAACATTTATTATTGGTGAATATGGATACTTTGGGTTATAAAATTCTTAATGTGCCTTTTAATAGTTGTGGAAGACTGGTGGCCATTATGGGCCCCTTAATGGCACTTCTACTACATTCATTACTGATAAAAAAAATTCATAAAACTATTCACTTCGTCGTATGAAATTATCGCAACTCTTTTCTTCAACAGGCAGGGCCGTAGGGGCATCAAGACTGATGTGAGAGTTTAAGATGTAGACTTATTTCTTTGGTATAATTCATGAAGCTGCCATCTAAATAATCTCCGTACGAGCAAGAGGATAACTTATTTTCGTTACAAGACACCTAGAAAGTAGAAACTACAAAAGTTAAAAATTTTAAGCAAAATCTGTTTGCAATAGAATAAGAGATATTCTGATTTTCATCTATTTCTTTTGATTTGCAATTATGTCAAGTATTTGGTGGGAGAGTTTTGTTGTTAATATGATCCTACTGACTTAATTGATGAATAATGAATAATTATATAAAAAAAACAAAAACTAGTTCAAGGGTTTATTTTGGCTAATGACTTCAATCTCTCAGGTCTATTTCATTTATAATTTTTTTTTTCAAACTACCCTGCATAAACTAATTTAATAATATTTCAACATAAATTAAAAGGGGCATTGTAGGAAAATAAGTACAAATTAACTTGACTAACTCTCCATTTGGGATGAAAAGAAACTTTTTTCAAGCTAACCTACATAAACTAATTTAATAATATTTCACCGTAAATTAAAAGGGGCATTGTAGGAAATGTGAACACCGTATTTTATTCGAATATTTTTTTAATTTAATAAAAATAATAATAAATAATCAAAAAATATATAAAAATATAAAAAAAATTAATCCTTTTTAAAATTATATTTTTAAGAAAATAATAATAATAATAATAATATCATCATCATCATCATCATCATCATCATCATCATCATCATCATCATCATCATCATCATCATCATCATCATCATCATCATCATCATCATCATCATCATCTAACAAAAAATCCTCTCTCCTTTTACCTTAGATAACCCTTCTCTTAAAAAAATTAATTTAAAAAAATACTTTAAATAAAATATCTTAATAATAGATTGAATAATAAAATAAAATAAAATAAAGAGGTAGCATCACGTGCATGCCAATTTGAACTGCCCAGCTTCAGCAACAAAAACACAGCAGACATGAAACAGACAAAAAGAAGGAAAACGAGAGAGAACAGTCAGCCACGCATGCACGAAGATAACGCCGGGAAAATGCACGAGCAGACGTAGAAAAAAGGAACTTTCAGCCATGCAGAGAAACCAGAACACGTAAACACACAGCCACAGCTACACAGAGAAAAATGCAGAAAAGAAACAGAGCCGAGACACGCCAGCTGATACACACAGAAAAGAGACACACGCACAGCACGCAAACAGCTCTCACATGCAAGCTTTATCTCCTTTAAAAAAGAGAGGAGCTGGGAAGGAAAACGGAGGAAGAGAAGAGAGGAGGAAAGCTGGAAGGAAACCGAGGAAGAGAAGAAAGGAGGAAGACTGGAGGAGGGAGAGACGAAGAACACGCGAAGAACTGGGGAGAGAGACCGAGTGCACAAAAACCGGATGAGAAAACAGAGACGAAAGAAAAAGAGAAGAAAAGGATGGAGAATGAGAAGGAGATGGAGAGTGAGAGATGAGCGAAAAACAGAGAAAAACAGAGGATGAAGGAAATGCTGAAGAGAGAGAAGAGATGGAGATCGGAAGCAAAAAATAGAGATTGAGGGAGAGAGGAGACGGATATTAGAGGGAGATTTTTTTTTTTGGAGAAACAAAGACAGAGAAAACTGGAAGAGAAGACAGAAACCAGACGAAGAAAAAATGGAAGAAAAAACAGAGCATGAACGAGAGAGAAAGAATAACAGAAACCGAGAGTAGAGATCACAACAGAAAAGAAAAGAAGAAGAGACCGAGAAGAAGAGAAGAGAACAAACGAGGAGATCACGAAATGGCTTCTTCGTCAATGGCATTAACGCTGTCTCCTTCGGTAACCCGTGGAGACATGAGTGCTTGAGGTTCTTGAACTTCCTTCACATTCCTTACTGGTTCTTCCAGACACAGGCTTGTTGTTAGGGCAGGCAAAGCTACTCTTTGTATGACCAAGAGGAACAGATCACGAAAATCACTGGCACGGACTCACGGTTTTCACAGATGGATGAGGACCACAAGCGCTTAAGTTTATTCTATTTTATTAACTGCACTAATGGTTGTCCACATTCTTCCTGATCTGTTGAGTGCGAAAACTCGTGAGCTGATTCTCAAGAACAAGGTTGAGGAGCTCGACAGGGAGATGGGACTTACCTTACACAAAAAGAATCTGGAAGGCATGTTAGAATGTTGACACATGAGATTAGGAGCACTCTTGACCAGTATACCATTTTGAAGACTGCACTTGTTGAATTGGGAAGGACTCTGAGCTTGAAAGGATGTGTGTTGCGAATGCCATCAAAAAGTGGTATTATAAGATATCCAACATGTATAAGTTACATTTAGTTTTGCATGGTTGATTCTCGAATTACCTTTTAAACTTTTTAATTACCATGATTTAGAATAATGCAACGTGAGGTGACATGCTGTACATTAATCTTTGTTCATTTGTAGTAGTTTATTCATACATACCGATAATCGTGGCTAATAACATACATATACATCATGGTGCTTTATATTCCCATGTGCTGCCATGATTTTCTTATAAAAAGAAAAAGAAAGAGAGAGAGAGAGAGATATATATATATATATACACGTGTGTGTATATATAATTATAGTTTATTTGTAGTGTGAGATTTTAAGAGTCTCCGCAAACATTTAAATTTAAAATGATCTCATACCGTGTAAATCAATAAGATTTCACAGATATGAGAATCAATCTCATAATAAATATTTAAGTCTCATGTGAGATTTTAAGAATTTTCGTAGAAACTTAAATTAATCACGTTATTAGATAGGACAATAAATCCTCGCAGATATCGTGATCCACAATTTATATGGTAAATAAATAAATGAATTTTGTAAATAAAATAATAAATGTTTTTGTGATTTTAATTAATTAAATTAATAAATTTAAATTATAATGATGTTGTCTAATTAGATCCTTTGGTCATATGAGATTTTTTTTGAATATTTGTAGACATTTAGGATAATCGTACTACCTTGAGAGTCAATAAGGCTTCGCAGGTATAATGATTAAGATTTCTATATTTAAATTTGAATTATACAATCATGTATTAAAATATATTTAAAATATATAATATTTAATCATTTATGGTGTGAGGATTTTGAATCTCCACAGATATTTAGGATAATCATATTACCGTAAAAGTTAATAAAGCTTTACTGGCATGATGATTAAAATTCTTTAAAAATATATGCATGCTTGAATAAATTATGACTAACATATAAATAAATTTAATTCTTTTATTGTGAGAGATTTTGAAATCTTCATAAATATTTAGAATGATTACATTATCGTATGAGTCAATAAGGCTCTACTGGAACTACGATTAAATTCCCAATCATAAAATATAAAAAAATAATTTTAAATCCTTTTCTTTTCCAAAAATTCAAAAATTGAGAAAATAATTGAAATTAAATCACTTTTTGCAATTTAAAACACACATATCAAAATTTCAGAAATTTGTTTTATTTGCAAAATGGTGAGCTATTTCTAATTAATTTCTCTTCAAAAAAAATATATTTTCACCCACAAACAATTACTAAGTCCGAATTACGTGGACTTTGATCCCCATCACAGGGTACGTAGGCCTCAGAGTCAAATTCTGAGTCAAATCCTCCCCGTAAATAAATAAATATTTTTCACTTAATTTTTATCATTTTTATATCAAACACATGAATATAAAAGGAATAATTAGAATAATTTTAAAACCATATTAATATAGCACAACAAACTTCGGGTAACCGTTCTGATGAACGGATGTCATGAGGTGTCTAATACCTTCCCCACACTCAACCAACTCCTGAACCTGTTCTCTATTTTCACAGACCATCCTTATCCACATTTAAATGATTTTCCGAGATTTTCCTCAAAATCTTGGTGGCGACTCCCATTTCTCCGGTCTTCCTTCCGAAGGCCGAAACCTCCACTCTCGCGCCGTTCGCGTCGCATTTTCGAGTGTGACAGGAAAATAAGCACAAATTAACTTGACTAACCCTTACATTTGGGATGAGAAGAAACTTTTTTTTTTTCACTAATGTAATCTTCAGGGGCATCAAAACTAGATATAGCTAAATTGGCCACATTTATTTTTTTGGTGAAGAATGCTTAAGAAAGTTGTTAGTGCGTGCACCCGCGCGAAGCTTGCTTACATTTATTTTATTTTATAATTTTCATGGGCAGGCCCAAACTGCATGTGTTTGGATCACATTCATCAAACGTTTAAATATCCAAACCCACCCAAACAAATTAAGCAGACCCAAGCCTATTGTACATGAAACGTGAGAGGTTCTTGACAATTTTTTTGACAATCTGTAGAAATGCAGTCATGCACCGGCAATATATTGATTTCAACTCAAGTAGCAAGGAAGCAAAATAAAAAATGCTGACCGAACCAAGCATCGGATCTCTGATTTCTGACAAACAGCTCTATGATGTGAGTAAAACATCCTTCACCCTCATCCTCAGCTTTGTACAAAGCATTTTGTAACGCATATATCATCGTAGCAGAAATGTTAAAAATACTGGCGGCCACACAATGTCACGCTGATGTTGAGACCCTTACGGAAAAAATAGGAGCACATCGAAACAAAAATGTATCAGCTACAAGTTGTAATCATCAAGCCCCAAATCCCTCAGTGCATCGGTGGCCGCATCCTTACAGCTGTCATGGTTTTGCTTGGCCTTGCGTATGCATTTCTCAACTCCATTATTAAGCAGAATAGTTCTGTCAAACAGAAAGCGCAAGTTGATGGGCAATCTCAAGAGCTAAAGCTACGGCTTATTCAAAGTTATAGAGGAAAAGATTTTGGAAAGCAACAGAAGGAAGAGAAGAGAGAGAGATGAAAATCTAGCCTGTTCTCTGGGTTTCTCGCTACAAGATTTCTGATCATAAAACAGGAATTTCTCTGCAATTGCTGTGCTGCAGAAAACTTCTGCATAGCTTGAATGGCAAGGTCACCAGCTCCAGCTTCAACGGCACGGGCGGCATTGTCTGGCGATCTCAATGAAAGCACAGTGATAACAGACATAATCTGTGCCACAAATAAAACCAACCATGTCAAAACTGGCACGTGATGCTTGTAGACAACTGAACCAAAGAAAAGGAGGAACAGCAAGGTAAACCATAATGGAATAAAGATGAAAACCATAATGCTTGTAGTCAGGTACTGCAGGGAAACAAGAAATTGTTTAGACTGATGTCCAGAACTATATCGGACAGTCTCACTTTACAGGTACTGCAGTTTCTCACCTCTAGCAAGACAGAAGGGTCTTCGGCAAACCTTGCTGAAAGTTTTATTAGCCTATCCATACCTCCCTTTTCAACAATTGCACTCTTGTTTTTATCACTTCCTGCCAACTGATCGATAAAAGTAAATAAATAAAGAAATACGTCAAATTATTCAAAGCGGTAAAATGAGCATGTTTTGAGTTATTCTGTGTTTACCCACAATACCCAAACATCAAAAGATGAAAAATATGAATTGATACAGTATAAGATGAAAATAAGAATAGAAGCCAAAATATTGCTGCAGGCTAAGCTGTCCAAGTTATGATAGAGGGAAATATACAGAACATTCCACTTCTTAGATCAGCTTTTGTGGAGCCTTGGAATTTCAGAAGCTTTTATGTTTGTCAATAAATAAGCGTGATGCCAGACATTTTATCATATATGAAAAACTAATAAGCTCAGGTTAATTTACAACTTGAGTATAAGTGCACGCTCGGCTGTTGATCAACGATCAAGGTGAGTTGTAAAACCTGAAAGATCTATATATTTCCGGGAAAAAAAAAAACAATAACCATAGAATTGTAAAAAGAGACAGCTCTAAACCTTAAAAAGAACCATTAAGGCTGCAGAAATTCCTATTATTTTTGCCTGCTAGACAAAGTGAAAGAATTAACATTCAACCTATTCAACAAAAAGAAAAAAGCTTTTGATCTATACCTACCTTTGAAAGCAAGGAGCAGCAAACTCTGGCCACTGCTTTGTTGCCATGCTCGCCACTATCATCTATACATCTGAGTAGGGCATCAATACCTCCCTTTTCAGCAATAGCCTTGCATATTTCATCCTGCAACATAAAACCACAAACACTCAACAAAAACAACACGCTTGACATATGACAGGATTTTGCTCACTCACATTTACAGCTACGGCTTTTAAAGCAACGCTTGCTGATACAAGGCCAGGAGAGGTAAGTCCTGCATGTAGTGAGTTGACAAGGGCTTCTGCAATCCCAATCTTGGCAAATCTTCGTGCATACCCATATACCTGCATTGTGAATGTATTAGTTACCTCAAGTCACGGTGTACATATTATTGAGAAGATTATAAGTCACTGATCTTTGAATGACTTGAATTGAAGAAAAATCCCAGTTGCTACCCACCAAGTCAGGTTTGTGTTTTATTTTTCATCCTCCTATGTGTGTAAAAGGCTGTGTTCTTTTCTAGAAGATATACAAATATATGCTTTTTGAATAAAGCCTTAACTTACTTGAGAAGCTATTACTCGATTATCATCGGCAGTTAGAAGTACACGAATAGCTTCATATAAGCTCTGGATGATGACATTCTTATGCATAGACATAATTTCCATAATTAGCTCATCAACTTTTAAGATCATGAAAGACTCCTTGAGAATTTCATTACCCGTTGCAGCTGAAGCCACTACACCAAAACCACTATTTAAGATGTCAATGTTCTGCGCGTTATCATTTAGGATACCAATTACAATTCTTGGTCCATTGCTGGTCTGAAATATGCCTGTGCTTTGAACATCTGCAGCAACAAGGATTATAAAACTACCTTGTCAAAAGCATGATGAAGCGCAGAAAAAGCCTGAAATATGAACTAAAATACAGTTGATATTCTGATGTGATGTTGTTGATTACACAATACAAGCAGCAGCAACCATGAAAAGCCTTGCTCAGACAAGGGATAATATTTATGACATGCCAGATAAGGCTGCCATCAAAAAGAAGAATGTCAGTACCTGGCAAGGAATTGGGATTGAGATCTTACAAAGAGTAAGGTAGGCCAGAAGGGCCAGGTGCTCTGACACATGTATGACCAGAACTCTCGGTTAGTTATCTGCTAAGGGACGAAAATCTGCTGGCCACTTGAATGAGATCATTCTCTCTCCCTTGCTATTTTTTTTCCTTCTCTCTCTCTCTCTGTGTACATAAATGGGGTTTTTCTCCTCTCTCTTTCCTGTCCTTTATACTCCCTTCCCATTTTCCTTCATGTTTCCCATAACCTCATACATCTAGCTAAGTATCTTAAATTACAACTCGTAGATTACTACAAAGTATGCCATATCTATAGTTATCCTTAAAACTCACATGTCTTGCCACTTATTATAGATAAAACTCCAATAATCGGTAATAAAAAATGAAGGAAGTGGTTAATTATTGCATTAATTAATTGATACATTCTTAGACTTTACGCTCTTCATACATGAATAACAAAACATGTGCAAAAGGAACGACGCTCAATGGAAGCATGTTGATTTTACCCAATAAGAAAGCAAGTGAAACAAAGGCACAAGAGTTTTAAAATCAGCTGAAACAATGCAATCTACATCACACAAGAAGCAACTAAACAACCTTGTTCGATCAGATGAATCCGAGAGGTATGTCAGATTTAAGCGCAAATATCTGACCGTGGAGCGATAATTAATTCATGCATTCCTAGACTTTGCACTCTTCATGAAAAACAAAATAACGTCCAAAAGGAACGAAACTCACTGGAAGCATGTTGACTTTCCCCAACAAAGAAAACAAGTATAACAAAGGCACGTGACATGAGTTTCAAAATCAGCTCAAACAACAGAATCTACCACACGCAAGACGCAACTAAGCAACCTTATACCATCAGATGAATCCGAGAGGTATGTCAGATTTCAGCCCAAATATCTCACCGTGGAGCAATGATGCCAAAGTCTTTAAAGCTGAAACCAGAGCGTGCTCACATCCCTTCGGTATTTTGGAACATGCAGAACAAACCAATTCCACACCGGCATTTTTTGTAGCAATAGCTGCATTCCCAGATCCTTCGACATTACAGACCTCGGAAAGCTTATCAAACAGTTCTACCATCTCATCAAAATCCCTATCGCCGATCTGATCCCCCAATCTAGATTCCAGTTTCTTTAACCTGTCCAAACATTGTATGACGGGGTTATCTTTCACCTCACTCTCTCCTGGAACGCACGTGATGATGCCTGGAAATTAAGAGATGACATGGTTTATTAAATATTGGAGTTAACTTCTCGTGGCTTAGCGTAGTTACAGAAACGTAATTCCAAGCTAGCAACTAAGAAACTGTTAAAGTAGCAAACTCAAGAAATTAAAAAGGAAAGAGACATTGAAGCAAACTCAAGCAAACTCAATGATTTCCTAGAAATTCTCATTTCTTCGGTAACGAAATAGATGTAAGAAATATTAAAATCCGGGGATGCAGCAAGGTTCAGACCAGATAAATCAACGCCTTGGAGAGTAAGAGTTTCAATGGCGTCCTGGAGAGCCTCGGTGGGGTCCATTCCAAGATCGTCCATGTTCTCCTTCACCAATTCATCGAATGCTTCCTGCGATATCGTCCGAATCGTCGATTTGGGTGGAGCCATTCCTCTGTTTCTATCTGTTGCAAGGAGAGCGGTGAGAGCTGAGTTGGGACTTGAGAGTCGAGACTTGAGAGAGCGAACTCTCACTGGTTCCAATTTCAATTTCAATCAAACCAACAGCGTTGTATGGCAGGGAACGACACTAAAAATCGGCGTATGATCGTTTGGGCTTTTTTTTTTTTTTCAATGACGTTTGTCATAATTCAGCATGACGCATCACCATGGAAACCCTTTTTTTTTTTGTCTGTTGGGCTATTTTTCGTTGCCAAATCTTTAGGCCAGACAATTTTGTGGAGAAGTGTTCCTTGCTATTTTTTTTCCAAAAACCAAAAAAAAAAAGGCTTCTGTATTTTGACTGCTTTTTATTAATCTTTGCTAAAGAGAATATTTTGAGGTAATCATCTCAAAACATTTCTTTAAAACCACTACACGTATTAGTTAATTGAGGATTAATTATGTCACGAAGTCGTCATCACTCATATATATGTAATGCATATAGAAAACTTTCGTATCATTTTGTAGACCTAATTAATAAATTTGACCAAGCTAATTGTTAAACCAATCGTTTCAGTTAAATCTGCGATATTATGACCAGTGCTCTCCAATAATGATATGCGTTGAATGTGTTTTCAAATTTCTTTAACACAACACAACTCCATTGAAGTTTGAACAGAAAGATGAAAATAAAGAATTATGTTTTCAACGTGACCGACTCATTTTGCATTATCTTTCGTTAATTCCCAGTTGCTGAATCTACTTCATTGCAAATACAAATGAAACAATTCTCTTGAAACTATTTAGCATTTGATTAGACAATGTAACTTTCAATCAAATTAAACCTAATTGAAAATAGTTCTTTTAAATATGTTTTTTGCATTTACAATCACTCAAAGACTTCGCAATTAAAGAAACCATAGTCTTTCCACATGCTTGTTACTATGCTAACACACACACACACATATTTATAGATATCATCCACATTTGGTGAAGAGCCAAACAATATGAATGGATTTTATTATTATTATTATTTTTTTTAAGGAAAAGAGAAACGCTGAAAGAGAAAGGTTAAAGTATGTAGCTGCAACTTCTTGATTATTGAATTAGTGTGTATACTGTACAGTATATAGCAATAATGCACTCCTAGTGGAAGGCTCAAGGATGTGAGAAAAACAATTCTAGGTGAAGCATTTACCCATTCGACGTGTAGTCTTGGATCAACAAGTCTTACCAACCCATATTAGACAAATCGAGAAAGGTAAATTAGGCCATTCTGCACCACAGGACTCCATGAATATCATGCTCCACACTTCCCCTCTCTTCTCTATATAAGAACACTTGTAACCTTCTATCTCAACATCACCATAACCAAACCATACTGATCCTTTGATCGAGTTCAGTAATTAGCATCAATGACGATTATGGCTGCTGCGAAGCTTGCAGCGTTAGTCCTAATAATCACTGCTTCGTCCACATTCGGAGTGAGCATGGGCAACAAGGACTGGTTCTGGAACTGGGGCAGTAATTTCAACTGCACTGATTGGTGGAACTTCCATCATCTGAACAAGACACAACCTCAAGCTAACACCTTGGTTGTGGGTGGCTCTCAGTATTGGCACTTCGGTTTTAACTACACTGACTGGGCCATCAAGAACGGCCCTTTCTACCTCAACGATACCCTTCGTGAGTGATATAGCCTTTCCATCACGGCCATTTTTTAGAATATTCATTGTCATATTCATCAATTTAACTCCGTGCGTGTGTGTTTGGTGTAGTGTTCAAGTACGATGCTCCAAACGCGACGACATTCCCGCACAGCGTGTTCATGTTTTCAAACTTGAGGAGCTTCTTGAACTGTGACCTCAAGAGAGCGAAGATGGTGGCGAATCCCGCACAGGGTGGAGGGGAAGGCTTCAGGTTCGTCATCAAGAAGTGGAAGCCTCACTACTTCGCATGCGGCGAGAGAAATGGCTTTCATTGCAGGGATGGTCTCATGAAGTTCGCCGTCTTCCCCATGATTCGCCCTTTCTCACCCTGGCCTTGACACTTTCCGAGTCCCATCACAATACATAGACATGATGTGTTTATTTTTCTCGAAGCAAATAAAGCAAAGTTTCATTTCGGTTGATTTTAGTTTTCCTCAAAATAAGGTCAAGCAACTGATGAATTACATTACACTGTTCAAGGGACATGGTTAAAAGTGGTTTGTCAGTGGTTAACTGACTGTTGTACTGATAAGTGACAGACACACACACACACACACGAAAGCTTTGTTGAGTGCTTTGGATTGGTGAGATGTTTATACCGTTAGCTTTATTTAGTGAGGCCAAAGATCACATTAAAGCGGATGTTTATTTGGTGACGAAGTTCATCATTTACACATTCTGTTGTTTCTCTGGCTAAAGACTCAGTTTAAATACTAATATGTGTGGGAAAGTGTGGTGTCATTTTAAAAAATATATTCAACGCAAAATTCAACATAATTTTTTTTCCATATATGGGTTGATATATTAGGATAGATGTGGTAAATCTGTAATTCTCCCCTTCTAAGCTGTTCATGCCCGTTTTGGGCATACAGAACTCCACTCAATTTTTTGTGTGTGTCAATAATGAATATTTCATTCAAACTTGAAGGAGCAATAGCATCTGAAAATAAGAATAACAAGAAAACTAGGACAGCAAAAGAAAATAAAAGACAACAAAACAACAACTAAAACTCAAGTGATCACAACTTAGCCAATTCTTAATCTCAAATAATCTATTCTTTGAGGTAAGTTTGAAGCAATAAAAGCCTCTATAACATCCACTGCTAGAATATGAGACAAAGGAAGTGGTGGTATCTCTACCCACCCTATCGGATACACATCCTTATCAACACTAGTCGCTAGGTGATTAGTTGCCTTATTACCTTCACATTGAGTAAAAGAAATAAAAAAACCCAATATTAGAAGTCATAAAGTCCAGACTATTAAAAACCAAACTTCTGCAAAGCCATTCACATAGCTTAAGCTTATGATTATTCAAGCAATTCACTAAGGTCTAACAATCATTTTCAAACACTACTTTATCATGCCCCAAATCAACAGCTAGCATCATAGCTTTTTTTAAGGCTAGAACTTCAGTCACAATTTATGACTCATAAATGTCGAGATAGATTTTACTTTCTCCACAAAGGCCCATCTATGCCTACCATGCCCAACCCTACAAAGTATTCCAATGGCAGCAAGATTATTAGTAAGATTAAAAGCCCCATCACAGTTAATCTTTAGGTACCCGATACTGGGAAAACACCAATGACTAATTTAAGCATCACATACAACATTGTCATTTAATTGTTTATTACCATAGACAACCCAAAACTCTAATTCTCTAGCCTTTAATACAACTGCTAAAAGATCAATTTTCTCGTGACTAAACACAAATTCATTTCTAGCCTTCTATATAAGCCATAATATCTAGCTCAAATGTGCAATATTAAAGTCAGAGAAAGGGTTTTTTGAGTCAACAATTTATGGCCACTAATTTTTAAAACTAGTGATTTTTCAAGGATCAACAATAAAGGAGAGATCACTTCTAAACTAAACATATCTTGTCTATGAACATAAGAAAAGCATATGTTCTATTGTTTCCAATGCAGAATTGCATATTGGGCAAAGGTTCATAGATCCCCTTTTTCTCTTGGTAAGTGCTTCACATGTAGCTACAGCATTTAAGAGAAGTCTCTAAAGGAAATGGTTGATTCAAGGTGTAGTGTTTATTTTCCAAAGTTGCTACCAAAAGTTAGAAGGAGCAACAATAGAGGTACTAGTTGAAGGTTGCCCATGAGTTCTTTTATGATGAGCGATAGAATACCCTTCTTTCACTATGTAGAGCCCATTTCGTGCAAGTAACTAGATGCGACAATCCTCTTGATCACAATTGGATAGAGGAATTAACTTAATAGCATTGATGAATTATTCATGAACTAGACCTGTAAGTTGTGATAGATCCCATTAGCAATTGAAAATTAGATTTTTAACAAGCCTATTTTCTTCCATTGCTAGATCCTCACATATCAAAATCATATGATTTTTAATAGTGGGGATCCATTTATCTTTCCATATTCTAATAAACTTAACATTCCCTATTTGCCAGTACAAGCCTTTTTTTTTTAGAAATACCTACCATCTAGTAGACTAGTCCAACACCACGACGCCTTATACCCTTTGCTAGCTGAGAGGAAATCAAATTTAGGGAAATACGTTCCCTTAATAACACATGCCCAAAGAGCATAGTGTTTTGTAAAAGTCGCCACGCCATTTTAGCTAAAGAGTGTATCATTAAATAGAAGAAAGTCTTTAAATCCCATATCTCTTTCTTTTTGCTCCTTGATGAGTTTTTCCTAAGCCACCCAATGTGTTTTGTTTGCTCCATGAGCCCTATCCCAACAGAAATTAGAAATAAGACTATTTAACTCCTTAGATGACTTGATAGGGAATTTAAAGCAATTCATAAAGTAGATTGGGATAGCATTGATTGCAGCTTTGATCAACACCTCTTACCTAGCATAAGAAAGATGCTTATGACCATATCTACTTATTTTTCTACAAACTTTTTCTTTCACTTAGGCCAATGCTTGATGCTTGGTTTTCCCCCAAATACTTGGATACCCAAATATTTACTCGAATCTTGGGAATCAGAGATATTCAGCAACTCACACATCTTCATTTTCACATCAATAGGTGTATTATGAGAACAATAGATGCCTGATTTCTTTAAATTCATAGTCTGACCTCACTCTAAGTTTTTTGGTAGAAATTACGTGAGAAAGAATTCGGACCCGGTGCTTTGGCTCCCTCAAGGTTAAAAACAACAACACGAACTTCTTCTTTTTTCACAGGCTGAAGAAGTAACATATTAGAATAATCATCCACCTTAGTGTCAATAACCTCAAGCGCTGTATTAAAGGTTTTAGAATCTGAAGTAGTAAACAACTTTGTGAAAAAATCAATTATATTGGTAGTAAGGGCAGCTTTATCATCTAACCATCTCCCTTGATCATCTTTGAGTTTTAAGATGGAGTTTCGGTGTCTTATGAGAATAGTTGACATATGAAAGAATTTAGAATTTCAATCCCCAACATGTAACCAAGAAACTTGAGAATGTTGTCATTAATACCATTCTTCCTTGTCAAGCGCCTATTCAATCATGCTATTAATATGACTCACTTTGAAAATTTTTTCCTCCATTATAACTCTTTGCCAATAGTTTGAAAGTTGTTTGAGATCAGCCAAAAGCTTTTATTATTTGAAAAAACTTGTCTACTCCATTTAATAAGATTAGCTCTACACTAATTTAGCTTTGAACAAAGCTGATTAGAGGGTCAATAGTATTTATATGATAGGTAAACTGACTATGATGAACAATATTCAAAAAATCAAGATGTAGGGACCATTTATGTTCATATTTGAAAGACTTCTTAACCTTGATAGCTTTATAGCATAAATCAATCAATAATAAATGATGGTTAGAGCCAGAGGGTTCAACATGAAAAACCTAAACATTAGGAAAGTCATTATAAAGATTGAAATTTCCCAAGGCATGATCAATCCTCTCAAATATAGTGGCATCACTCATTCTCTTATTATACCAAGTAAATCTTAAGTATTGAAAACCCAACTCCATCAAATTACTATCAACAATAAATTTTTGAAAATTATAAATCTTCTTCCATGCTCTCGATTGCCCCCTTGTTTCTCCTATTGGGATGTAATATCATTAAAATCTCCCAAGCAAAGCCAAGAGCCATCAATCCTACCTCATATCCTCCTTATTTCATCATAAACCTGTAACCTATCATGCTCATTGGGAGGGCCATAAACAAAAGTAATATAGTTTGGAGTCTCCATACTGGTTGAGAAGAGACGAGTATGGATAATATTTTTTAAATAAAAATAAAATATTTACAACCACCTCTCTTTACCACCTTATTGCGAGGCCTCCACTTCTTCCTTTAGGCACAATAATCCATTCTTTTTCATACCCACATCTTCTTTTATTTTTTAAACTTTACACAATCTTTGCTTCGTTTGCATAAGAAAAATAATTTAAGATTTTTGATTTATACATTTTGAGATTCTTAATTGCCAAGGAACCTCGAGACTCTAGCAGTTCCATACTAAGAGTTTTATGACACACCGATGGCCATATTATCACAAAATAACTTGAAAGTTTTGGATACAAATAGATTAGATTGAGAGAGAGATATACATCAAATCAAAGTTATTTTCAAACTTTATCCGTTAAAAAATATAAAACATTTTTAATTAAATTTACTTTTTAATAAAGTAGTTACCCACTTTCAGACTAATTTTATCTTTTTATATTTATCCTTATTAAATATCGTATAATAAATATAAAGTCATTCATCAAAAAAGATACTTTAAAAAAATACAATGATTACACTTCAAAAGATTAAAAATACTTTCTATTTTTCGACATCCAATTCTTTATAAAATATTTTATATTTTTAAACAGAGAAAATATTTTTTAATCAATCTTAATAAATGCCTTAGCCATATTGAAAAATTCTTCAAGGTGCCTTGAAATAAAAGATGGCTTACAATCAACTCTAATGCTGATGGAAAAAACGTCCAAGGTACATTAGGTTAGATAGGAAACGTGGAATCTGGGTTGGATGAGAATGAGTGTCTTTGGGGGAGATAGCTGGGCAAGAGAAGCGCAATACAGGAAAAGGAGGGTTGACGATCTGCTTGTAGAGGGGATTCATGGCTCTTCCTTCAAGAAGCTCGCTAACGGCAAATACGCCTGCCTCGTCTGCCCCGACAATCCCATCCTCGATACCCCTGTCATGCTCTCCGTACGTGTTCCCCTATTTTTTTTTTCGCGCTATTTTCTTTCAATTCATGTCGAAATGGAATTTTGACTCCTGGCTGTGATTCAAAGTAATAAGCTCTGGCATCGTTGCTAATGTCTAATTTCCTAATTTCCTCCTTTGTGTTTTAGTACCTTCTGAATGTGAGCAATCTTGCCTTTCATTATTTCTTATTTGATGAAATAAGCTCAATATGAAATTAGTACTTGTCACTCAGTTCTCTGAGAGTTGCATGGATGATCAGGATTAATTGCTTTTATGGAAATTTTGTATGTTGAATGAGATGGAGGACATTCTTGTTCCTCTTTCTGAAGAGTTTTTATTTGAGCGATCTCCATGGTATAGGTGGCTGCTTGTTTTTGTGAACAACTTCCTCCCATCTTTAGCGATGACGAAGGGTATGGGATTTGTGCTGGTCTTTCATGTGTGTGTGTGTGTGTGTGTGTGTTGTTTCTTGTTACGTTGGATGAGTACTTCCAATGTAGGTCCCAGTCCAATTTCCTGGCCCCAATACCAAAAGCTTCTCTGCTTTGCCCCTCACACATTTTAGCATATATTTTGTAATCAAGGGTGTGTCTGGCATGTGGATTTTAAATTTACCTCAGAAATAAATACCCTGGCAATTGGTGAAAATGGCTTGATATGGGTGGCGAAATGTAATTAACAAAATAAGTGTATTAAGTTAAGCATCCCTATCATTGACTTTGTGGGCTACGGGTGGCATTCATCTCTCATGTGTAGTCCGCAAGCATGCTCACGTATTTTCATGATTATTTTGTCACAAGAACGGATTCCTTTCTTCTTTAGAGATGGCGAAGGATGTCAAGTTTGAAGCTTTCTTATATGCTTGTTGATATTTGAAAGAGGTGGTCTCCGATTGTTGAAACCTTTTTTTAGATACACAACAAGGGATCACGTCACCTTGCGGCAACATCAAGACTGAAAGAAAGGGATTTGATTAAACAGAATGAAATAAATAAGAGAATTGCATTGTCGGCCTCATCTGCTGACAGTGCCAAATCCAGTGGCAATCAAAAGCTAAGGTTAGCTAGCAGTGGCAAGCCTTTGATTGAACAGACAAAGAAGGCTGTTTCTGAAATACTGTCTGACAAATCTCAGCAACAAATGGAAAATAGAAGTAAAAAGGGGCAATCAATCACAGGTCACATGGCAAGTGCATCATGTGTATCAACTGAAAGTTTCTCCTCTCCTGCAAGAGTGGACGATAACAAGGTGGTCTTGCAGCATAATTTGGATTTTCAGGAGCGCAGAGAGAGAGAACTCAAATTTACTGCTGCAGGTTGGAAGCGTGACGGTCATGGAAAATGGTATCAAGATGAAAATGTGAGTTCCTTCCACCCCCACCCCACCTTTCTAAATCATAAATTCATTGTCTATTTTGAATCTGGAATTGAATCGCAGGCTGAGATTCTAAATATCAGCATTTGCTTGTTTGATTTCATTCAACGCCTGAAAGACTTTTTTGAAGCGCCCTGTTTTCATGAGTCTAACTTTACCCTCTACCACTGAGTGATCGGTTAACTTATTCATTTGATGATGTAAAATATAGCCATTTATGCCTGTTTTTCTACTAGCAGGTTGAGTTTGACTCTGATGAAGAAGATCCAAATGTTTGTCTTGGCTGAAAATTTTTGCATTAATCAGCAGAGATGGTGGCGGACTATAGCAGTCACGCAATTTTTTTTTTTTTTTAAATAAACAAGAGTCGTCTGTTTGATGATGCACTCCTTCCATTTGCTACAGAAGAAATCAAATTGTAACATCACTGGTCTCTGTGGAAGCCATATTTGTGAGCGCGCGCGCGCACACACACATATATATATATATATATGTATGTATATGTATATGTATGTATATTGTATTATTACCGATAGGATAGGTTTCATCAAGGTTTTTCCTCCAATGCTTTGAATTGATAGCTAGACTGCTAGAGCGATTATTTATGACCAGTCAAGGCTTCCCATTTGGTTTTATAATGAAGAGAAAGTGCCAGCTATTTTCTTTTGGCGTGGAAATAGCCAAATAGGTGGTTTAATAGCTTTTTTCTGTGATCAGATCCTTTAAGATAATATACTAGGTATTATTAATGATATAAAAAAACTTGAATTCTAACCTCTGTTAATTACACAAGGATGAAGATTGTGCTGGGGCTATATCTACACCGTATATAATTCTTGTGCTTAGATGTTTTGTCTGTGTGTGTGTGTGTGTGTGTGTAGAAAAGCTCGGGAGATGCGACATTCTCATTCTCCTCGAGAATCCAGCTTAAGATGTCTACAAAGAAATCGCACTAGGAGGCCTTATTTCTCGTCAAATTTGTTAAAATCCACACGTTCTTCAAATTTTGAAATGAGCCTTGTGTGGGTGGGTGGGTGGGTGTATTTCCAGAACGAAGGACATGGACCTAGTACAATTTGGTACAGCCGCTAAGACCTTTTGTGAAGATCTAAAGGCAACTCAAGTAATTGTAATTGCATATAAGATAAGGGGGCTGGAGCCAAAAAAGGGTGAACCGTTCACTTGGGGGAAAATGCAAAGTTGCAAACTAGTTGATATCAAATAGTTACAGTTTTCTGCCTACTTCAATGGCGAGAGAGATGGCTCCAAGTGACCGAAATTATTATACCATCTTGATGGGGACTAAAATTGAGACATCAAATGTGCTTTCAGTTGATTGGGAACTTGAAAGAACAGAAACAAACATACCCATATGAAAGTTAAAAATTACCAAAGCACCCTAGTCCCTAGCCATTCTTCTACTGCTTTAGAGTTTGTTCCCCTCGTTTTCAGAATGTACGAACACCTCCGAAGTTACTTGAATATATTAATCATGAATAAGTTGGGTTAAAGTTAAAGGTTAAAACAAAGCAAAATTTCTGCATATATACATTAAATGTTCACACAATCATTTGCTTTTATAATGTACGTACCTGACCAGTCACCGAAGCTTGCTTACAACATCAAATCTGAATTGTTGAAAAGTGTGTTTGGATTAAAAAAAATCAGTAAATGAAGTTAGAAAAGAAGTCTATGACATTAGTAATTTATATTTGAATACATTTTTTTTATAAGTCAGTTGAATAAATTAAAATCTGTTTAAATGATTTAATTCAAAAACTAGTTGAAGGATATAATAATAAAGATAAACATAACTTTTCTTGTATATATTTTTGTAACTAATTTGATATTTTTTTAAAAAAATATTAAAATTAAAATTATATTTTAAAAAAATAGATTAAAAATAATTATATTAAAATTAATATTTAATATACGGAGGAAAATAATTATGAAAAAAATATGTATAATTGATATACAATTCACATTAAAAGAACTATTTGGAGAAAAATATGAATAATTAATATACAATTCAATTTTTTTTTTTCAGATTTTATATGGGTTTAGCATAATTGTTGCTTGTTTATGACAAAACGAAAACAGAGCAAATAAAATGTCAGGTCTCACTTATGTCTCAGCCCTTCTTGTTTTCCATCTACACTGCAATCCCTATCCATTTATCCTTAAGCCAATATGAACTTTTTCACTGGATTCTCTTTACTTCCCACCGGATTCCCCCTCTCATAACTTCTCCTTCCTATTTCTTTCACTTCTTCACCGGATTCTCCTTGCTTCCCACGAGTAGAGCGGCTTTGATCACAAACTTTTTGTCCTTGTTGGTAGTGTTCGCTGTCAGCTCGTCGACGTTTGTCGACACCTCCTCAGATGGCAATGACGGCGAGAAGAAGGAGAGGTAACGGCTGTGCTTGTGAAAACTGAATGAAGACAAAGCAAAGAAGACAAATAGGAGTTGAACACAAGAAGAAGATGAGCGGGTAATCTAGTGACGTGAGAGGATAGGAGGAGGGAGTATCTGACAGTTTTTAACATTTAATATCCCCTCAATGCTCCTAATAGACGTTGAAAAGCTCCTCCAAGCAGCTTCAACTAAAACGCTTGTTCTTTGGAAGCTCGTTTAACTTGTTTTTTTTTTTTTAATGTCCAAACAAAATATCAGATATTGCAATGAGCTTTTTACTTCTCAACTGAGGTTAGAATCACCCCAACCTTAGCTAACAAGTAAACCAAACATGCCTATTTATACATTTAGTGCAAGTAAATATTGCTTTTGAAAACAAATGAAGCTTCTCAAGGATTAATTTTCTTTGTTTCGTGATTTTTAGTTTAGATTTCATGTTGAATTAAAATTTCAAAACTAGTTTTGAATTCGAATTCATATGAATGCAAAAAAAATTATTTTGTAAAAGAGAGATAGTTATCATAATTCGACCTAATAATACTCAAATATAACATAGTCAAATAATTACATGTAATGAGTTTCATATTAAAAAGTCTCACAAGTTAAATGAAGCTTAAAAATGTGAGGAGTTTTTTCACCCAATATGTCAGTGTTTTAGAATCTTTCCCTTTAAGTTTATGCTAATAACATTGATGCTTTTGCTAAGAGTTTTTAATGTAGGACTTGTCACATCATATTTAAAAAAAAAACTCAAGATGAGCATTTTTTTAACAATAAATTCAATTTCAAAGGAAAATAAACAAATTATGTTCAAGCCCAAAAAGAATTATGAAACCCATTATGTAGCAGCACCATTGTTGTGGTAGGTAGGTTAAGCACACCCGTCATTGTTTGTTATGTGAGAGGGATTTAAAGTGGAAGTTCCCACATAGCCATCAACTTGATTATCCCAGGCTAATAACACCCACTAACCCAATTATAGGTGGATAAGACGGGGATCTGGATTTCCAGTTACTCGTGAAAGACAACAATAACTTGCAGTTTTTTAATTCTGGTCCATTTTGCACCACTGAGTATCGAATCTAATTAAAAATTTAAACGAATGTGTTAAAATGCATTGTATCATATTGATTTCAATCTGGAATTTAATACTGTACATATTAAACATCCAAGAAACACAGTCACACACAGACGCAAAATGCTATTAATAGGAATGTATACAATATAATAGTGTATATTAATGAGGGGTTATTTTGGAACCATATTAGATAGGTAAAAATAAAAAAGTCCATTCTTTTAAATAGTAATGCAATTGAAGAGGCCATTGCGTTTATTATGGAAGTCATGCTTTTGAATTGTGTTGACAGAGAAGTGCTTGATCCCACGTTTGGCCATAAATTTGTGTGGTCTAGTCTGGACCTACACAAATTGCACGTAACTCTTGCTGCCTTTTCTGGTTCATGCAATCATGCTGTTCGACGTTTTTCCCAAGCGAAAAGAAAAAAAAAAATGGAGATCAATTCATACCTCTGCTCATCATCATCCCACTTTTATTTGGTATCAATTTTATTTGCTCGGTTACTGGTAGAAAGAAATCATCAGATTTTTACTCCTTGGAAACATCTAACGTATTTAAATCCTTTCAATGTTAATTAATATCGGTAAATGAGGAAATTTTTTATGTTTCAGCCTCTCTCTCTCTCTCTTGGTCAGAACTCAGGAGCCAAGCAACTGCAGCTGCATGGCTCTATTTCTCCCAAGTCAAGTTATTTCGATCATTGTTAGACTTAATTTGATAGTTAATGACAAATCAGATTTTGGACCATCCAACATTAATAGGCTGAAATGACTAGCCACTTTTAATGGACTAAGCACATCCTAAACCTGACCGCATCATACTTGCAGGTTCACATTTATACAATTGGGATATTGCCCTGAAACTAATGAGTGCCTCTCACATGTGTATCACTATTTGCCACTCTCGGACCAAGAATGATTACTGTAAGAGTATTACTGTTGGAAAGAAAGTCCAACATTATATACGTGATTGAGGTAGATTGCTTTCATTTTTTGTTTTCTGATTTTTTCTCTCTACTGATGCATAATTATGGGGGGAAAAAACCAAGCTAGCTATCAGTAGCCTCATTATAATGCCTTCGGGAACTTTAACTAAAGATGCCTCATAGGTGTGCCTCAGGCAATTTATTACCCGTCTTCCTTTGATTATCACTTCAACTCCGTGTTAATTAAGCATCACAGTGCGTGTCAAAGTCTCTGATCTTCGTTTTCATCAGTGTTTCTCTATCAAACATTACGATAAACCACTATAAATAACTCATGAGTCAGTTTGGATTCCCTCAATTAATTATAGAGATATAGTGAGGAGAGGTGTGTCTGGACGGTGACTCTCACCACTTGTTTCTGTCTCTTTCTTTATCATATATCTTTATTATTACTTGAGAAAATTAGAACTCTTCACAAGCTTGCATAGATCATTATTATTAAGTTTTAAAAATCAGTAGATTAACTTTAAGACTGTGTTTCATCGTTCATCATACATCTTGTATGTATGTTTAGGCATTTTCCTTTCCTTTTATCATTTGAATTTGAAGAACTTTATTGTACAGCAGATGAATGTCTAAACTGGTATGGTGGGAAAAGGGAGGGCTGAAGAAGTGGGATCCACAAGTATTTATACCTTGAAGAAGGTGACCAACTTTCAAATAAATGCATTGATGATTAAACCCACCACTAACGCTATTTTAATGTGGTCAAAATTGTGTACTAAATGTCAAAGCTATCTCGGGGTAAAAGGAAAAGGTTGTTTATTCCCTCACGATGACACTTATTAGTGGTGGGGTAACCCACTTACATTCTCATACTATGATGAGGCTGTGGAAAAGAGAAAAGTCAGATGGAACCAACCAAAGGAAAAGAACAGAGGTAATTTGTTTTTTACCAGTATTTTACTGTGACGGAGAATTCCCCCTTAAGAGATTAGCTATTAAATGAGACTACTAGTTAACACATAGTAATTTATACTACTACCTCCAGTCTCATGTGTGAGAGACTTTTTTCAACCTTAATTTGGTCTACAATATTGTAATAAACAGTCCATGTTTGGTATGTTAATTGCAATGTTCCAGTTATGCTCCTCAATTAATGCAATACCTTGTTCACGAAACAACCCTTTATTTTTCATAGGTGGAGGAGCTAGTGCA